GTCACTCTTGTTATATGGGGTCGGTGCCCTACCCACTGAGCCACAGGCGCCCCCCACAGTGTGGCTTTATTTTCCGAGCAGAACACACTCAACATTTATTAAGTTTGTCATCCTATATGGGCTGCAGTTCAAGGTGCATTAAAACAATTGCAGTAGTCACATCAAAGATCACTGATCACGAGTCACCATAGGAAATATAATAATAATGAAACAGGGTGGCACCTGTGGCTCAAAGGAGAAGGGCGCTGGCCCCATATACCGGAGGTCGCAGGTTCAAACCGAGCCCTGGCCAAAAACTGCAAAAAAAAAAAAAAGAAAAAAAAAGAAACAGTTTAAAATACTACAGGAAATACTAAAATGTGACACAGAGATGTGAAGTGAGCACATGTTGTTGGAAAAATGGGAGCAACAGACTTGTTCAACACAGCATTGCTGCATACCTCCACTTCATGGTTTTGTTCTGGATTAATCTAAGAGTACATATGATTAGGTTACATTGTTTGCATTTGTTATGGGTAAAGTCCAGCTGTGTTTGAGTGCTTCACCCAGGAGGTGTGCTGTATCCCACTCATTTTACCTATTAGGTGGGAGCTTACCAAGCCACTTCCCTTCCTTTCCTCCTTTCCCTTCCTTAAATTTAATTGTGTTTTGCTCTCTTGTGGGCTTATAGTTGTTCACCTACTAGTTTCACATTGCTATTGAATACGTGGGATGCTTGCTTTTTTCTTCTTGAAATACTTTATTAAGGAGAATGTTCTTCAGCTCCATCCAGGTAAATACAAAAAATGTAAAGTTTCCCATCTTTTTATGGCTGGATAGTACTCCATGGTATACATACATTGCAGTTTATTAATCTATTCATGAGTTGATGGGCACTTGGGTTGTTTCCATATCTTTGCAATTGTAAATTGAGTTGCTATAAACATTTGAGTGCAAATATCTTTTAGATAAAATGATTTTTTTTTCTTCTGGGTAGATATCTAGTAATAGGATTGCAGGATCAAATAGAAGATCTACTTTTAGCTCTTTCAGAATTCTCCATACTTCTTTCCAAAAAGGCTGTATTAGTTTGTAGTCCTCCTAACAGTGTATAAGTATTTCCTTGTCTCCACACCCACACCAGCATCTGCAGCTTTGGGACTTTGTGATGTGGGCTGTTCTCCCAGGGGGTTAGTAATATCTCAAGGTAGTTTTGATTTACATTTTTCTGATGCTCAGGGACAATGTATTTTTCCACGTGTGTGTTGGCCGTTCATCTGTCTTCTTGGGAGAAGATTCTGTTCATGTCTCTTGCCAGTGATTAATTGGGTTGTTTGCTCTTTCCTTGTTGCTTTCCTTGAGTTCTTTGTAGGTTCTGTTTATTAGCTCGTTGTTAGATTTGGAACCTGCGAATATCTTCTCCCATTCTGAAGGTTGTCTGTCCTATTTATAACAATCTACAGATTAACCACAATCTCCATTAAAACACCAATATCATACTTTGAAGAACTTAAAAAAAATAGTTCTTATTTTTGTCAGGGAAAAAACCCAAATAGCCAATGCAATTTGGGGGCGGGAGGCAGAATCTCACTCAGTTGCCCTGGAATTGAGTGCCATGGTGACATATCTCACAGCAACCTCAGATTCTTAGGTTCAAGTGATACTCTTGCCTCAGCCTTCCAATTAGCTGGGACTACAGGTGCCCACTAAGATGCTCAGCTGCTTTTAGAAATGAAGTCTCATTCTTGCTCAGGCAAGTTTTGAACTCCTGAGCTGAGGCAATCCACCTGCCTCAGCCTTCCAGAGCCAGTGCAATTCTAAGAATTAAAAATAAATCTGGAGGCATCATGTTAACAGACTTCAGATTATGCTGCAAGTCCATAGTGATCAAACTAGTATGGTATTGGCATAAAAATAGAGATATAGATCAGTGGAACAGAATAGAGAAGTTGGAGATGACCATCATACAGCCATCTGATCTTCAGTAAACCAAACAAAAGCACTCAATGGGGAGAAGGATCCTTATTTAATAAATAGTGCTGGGAAAATAGGTTAATCACATGTAAAAGACAGAAACTGGACCTGTACCTCTCACCACTTAGAAAAATGAACTCATGAGGTAGCACCTGTGGCTCAAAGGAGTAGGGTGCTGGCCCCATATGCCGGAGGTGGCAGGTTCAAACCCAGCTCCGGCCAAAAAAAAAAAAAAAAAAAGAAGAAGAAGAAAAATGAACTCATGCTGGATAAAAGGTTTATGTCTATGACATGAAACTGTAAAAACTATAAAAGAATGTGGGAAAAACTTTTAACAATGTTTGACCCAGGGAAAGATTTTATGAAGAACGCTCAATTGGCAGTTGCAGCAGCAACAAAAATAAATAAATGGAACTGTCTATAATACCAGCATTCTGGAAGGTTGAGGCAGGTGGATCGCCTGAGCTTGGGAGTTTGATACCAGTCTGAGCGAGTGAGACCCTTGTCTCTATTTAAAAAGTTGGGGAAAGGCCTGTAGCTCAGTGGTTAGGTCGCCAGCCACATACTTTGGGGCTAGCAGGTTCCAACTGGCCTGGGCCTGCTAAACAATGACAACTACAAAAACAAACAAACAAACAAAAAAAACAACCAGTCGTTGTGGCGGGTCCCTGTAGTCCCAGCTACTTGGGAGGCTGAGGCAAGAGTATCGCTTAAGCCCAAGAGTTTGAGATAGCTGTGAC